TGGCCCATGGTGCACACAGTCCCCCCCGTGGTACTTGCTGGACCGGACTGGTACTTTCTAGACTCTCCCTTGACTGTATGACGACGACCCTACGACGCAGTGCAATTGCACCGGGGTCCTACTATTTGACCTTGCCACTTGTCCTCGTCTCCACCATGGGCTTGCTTTAGTCACACCACTTGCCCACTTGCCTGCACCACTTGACCACTTGCCAACCTTAAGGACTGCAGCTAGCCTTCTAGTCTACAGGTCTACAGATCGAATCCTGGCTACCTATAGACCAACGACAGACCTACCTACCACTGGCGGTTCTACAGGTCGCAGGTTCAACTCTTCGAGTTGACGCAGGTATTGTACACAGGTAAGTTGGGGAACCAGGGATTGAGCCCTGGGATCTACCTCAGCTACCACGAATTGGTGAATACCGTTTCATTGATACTAATCCGATAATTTGGTGGATTCGGATTTCTGATTTTCAAAACGTATTAGGGTTGAATCAGTATCCTGTTGAAATTTGGCATTCTGATTTCCATTCAGCATTGCGTTTTTTCGGCATTCTGTTGTAAATCCTATATTTTGTTTTTCTTTTGGTATGTCCGTTTTCCTTCAGTATTGGAAATTAGGGTTACGATTTTTTTTTTTTTTGGTTTTCAATCAGCTCGGGGAATTCGAACGTTTTGGGACCGTAAATCCGGAAATTCTGCCGAAACGCGGAAAATTAGGGTTGGGATCGAAATTTTCGCGAATTTTTTTTTCATTCCCCTTGTTTGAGAAATTCCGAAAACGGGTTTAGGCCTTTAAAAATCGGATTTTGACGGTGGAAATTTCCGAAATTTCACGTTTTTTTGGAAATTCGAGTGTTTTTCTTCTGATTTTTGTCCGAATTTTTTTTGGCAAACTAATCCGACTCTGACCCTCAGCATTGCAACTTCCGGGTAGTTCACTAATTAACGGTGAACTCCCGGACTCAAAGATGATCTCAATGGATACCTGATCTTGATAACAATTCAAATTCGCTCATTATCATTATTGCAAATATTGTTTTAATTGATTATCGTTAAGAAATCATTATTGCAAAGATTGTTTACTGATTATCATTAAGAATTATTCTTTCGTATTAATAATTAATTAAACTTATTGATTACAATATTATTATTATTATTATTACGAATTTTCGAATTGTTTACGGGAAAAATTATTTTTTCTGTTTGATTAGGTGTCTTAGTCCATCCTTGGACAGGGACTGTATGTTTATTGCTTGATCTGTTCTATCCCTGTGCCCACCCTCTCCCTCACACTGTTCTGCGATCCTCCGGACGAGCCAGCCTTCAGCAACAGTTCCTGATGCCAGCAGGGCCAGCCTCCGAACAGCAGCCACGACGCAGCAAGCGGATCGCCGATCGCCAACAGC